TTCCCAGGCCTATTGTTCATTCAGTCATCTACGTTTCTCACCGGTTACTTTTTTTTTTTTTTTTAAATTTATTTATTTATTTGTTTTTATTTTTGGCCGTGTTGGGCCTTCGTTGCTGTGCGCAGGCTTTCTCCAGTTGCGGTGCGCGGGCGTCTCGTTGCGATGGCTTCTCTTGTTGTGGAGCACGGGCTCCAGGCGCGCGGGCTTCAGTAGTTGCAGCATGCAGGCTCAGTTGTTGTGGCTCGCGGGCTCTCTAGAGTGCAGGCTCAGTAGTTGTGGCACACGGGCTTAGTTGCTCTGTGGCATGTAGGATCTTCCCGGACCCGGGCTTGATTCCATGTCCCCTGCATTGGCAGGCAGATTCATAACCACTGCACCACCAGGGAAGCTCTCACCAGTTACTTTTTTCCTAATACTTTATTATAGAAAATTTCAAACATACAAAGAAGTTAAGGGAACTCCCTTGCTGTCCAGTGGGTTAGGAATCTGCACTTTTACTGCAGGGGTCCAGGTTTGATCCTCGTCCGGGAACTAAGATCTTGCAAGCCTCACAGCATGTCCAAAAAAAAAAAAATAAGGTTGACAGAGGTCTGTGAACACTCATGTACCTACCACCTAGATTCTACTATTAATATTTTATTATACTTTGTCACCTGTATATTCCTTTATCCATTCTTCTATCCATTATTCTATCTTTTTTGTTTTTGTTTTTGGATGCATTTCAAAATAAGTAGCAGTTATAAGTACACTTCAACCCTAAATATTTCAACATGTGCATCATTGACTAGAGTTCAGTATTTGTTTAGAGGACTTTTTCTTTTGAGGTGGAATTTATATAGAATGATATGCACAGATCTTAAGTGTACCATTTAATGACCTCTGTCTTTCCTTCTAAGTCAATTGTGTTCTAATAAGAGGACTAACACTAACTAAGAGCATATGAGGCCATACTAGCAAAACTTGTGTATTCATTTGGATTTTCCAGAAAAGACTATGAATACCACAGAGTACCTTAAAACTTTCTTCTTATTTTTGTTTTTATTATATAAATGTGCTACAGTATAATGATTATAGTTAAAAGTGTTTTTATTTTTTCCATATTGTTCCATGCTTCACCAAGAATTCTTAGTATGGCCAATGATATCACATGATGCATGCTGGAATAAATAACTTAAGGATACTTTTATTTAGTTAAAAATATGAAATTTTAAAGAAAGGCTAGGATGGCCCATTTGTCAGCTTCATAAGCTGAATATGTAAAAGAGCTAGTTAATTCAAGACACTTTGAACGTTTCTGGAGTGCTTTTGTGGTCTTTTAAGTGCTTGCATTTATCTTAACTCATTTGAGCCTCACATTAGCCGTGTTAGGTAGTTGGGACAGTTGTTATTTCTGCTCTCTGGATGAAGAAAGCAAGACATAGGCAGTGGGAAGGACAAAGCAGCAGTTGGTCATACAACCAATTGAACTCAGATCCTCTCACTTTAAATCTTGTCCAACAGCAACAACTACAATCACACTAATTCTTTAGTTCAGGTGCTATTCTGGATCCTTGGATTTGCTTATGAATAACTAACAAATGTCTTATTGTACAGACTAGGGTCAACTGTAATACGAATGCTGACGTGAAGACTTATGCCAGTATTTTGAATTCTCTGTGATGAAATATTTAGATACAAGGCAACCGCAACCATCAGGATCCAGACAGATCTATCTAAGTGTGCTATATTTAGAGTATGGCACACTGATATTCTGTTCTCACAAGAGTGAACAATATCATGATTGAAATGCCACTTAATGTGGCAAAATGCCTATTTTTCAGAAATGTATTACATAAGAAGCTTATTGGAGAAGAGAAAGCCTAATTGATATACCTGTTTTGGAAGGTTTATATTCCACAACATCCTTTCTTTCCTTTAGGTAGACAAATACTTAATGGCAAAACCATCTGGAGAAAATCAGCTTGACATTGGGTAAAGGACTTAACAAAAACCAGTCAGGTTTGTTCTTGTCAGTGGATGTAAAGGTTTAGCTCTTGGTTTAGTTGATAGCACTAAGGAAAAGCTGGAAGAAATTAACATGGCTCCCGATGAAAAGTGTTCTTGAGAAAACCTCCTTGGAATAGAAACTTACTGAAAGTCCTTTAGAATCAGAAACCGGAACTAATTTATTCGAGGTCACCTTTGAGTCTGTACCTTTAATTTTGTCATTTTGTTGAAAAGTAGTTTTCTGTCGACTGTGCCAGAAATCTTATTTCTTTTAAGGTTTCCCCCATCACTGGTGTAGAATGTTCTGGAGTTGTTAGAAGATAGTTGCATAGGAGCTGAAAACCAGATTTTTCTGGTATTAGTAAGTGTGTCTGCTTACAGAATACAAATAATATAATTTTTTTCAAAAGCACTAGATTGTTTTTTGAAATAGGTAATGGCCGATCTGCCTCGTGTGCAAATGAAAAAGGTGACAGGACCTGGCCAGTCATGCACGTACACACCTGGGTACCCTTGTAGATAGGACACGGAGGATAAGGAAGACAGGGAAGTTCCCATTTCCTGCTCATTAGCCTGTGCCTCTGTCCCTTTCACTGTTATCTTTCTCTCAGGGTGGGTTAGCCTGGAGCTTGTTGAAACAGTTTTGTTTTTTAGGCATTTTTAAGAAAAGATAATTCTTTATATAAATCTGCGTGCTAGGAATATCCTGGCAGCTCTAAGGTCTAAGACAGTGTTAGTTGAGAAAGATGGAAATTGGATTACAGGGAAAG